TATATATATATATATATATATATATATACACATACATACATAAATCATGACGTGGTCATGTGGTTCTATGCTTTTTATTGCATAGGAATGGTGTAGGTTCAAATTTAACATTCTATGTTTTTTTTTTTTAATTTAAACAAGCCAATTTTTAGCGGAAACTAGCTAAATTTTGATGACATACTGTTCACGAGCAATTTCGGATATGAGCCAATTTCAAGCAAAACTAGTTTTGAACTAGCTAAGCCTGAGCTAGCTTAATCTCAGCTCTTAGCATACATGTGATGGCACTCGCACCTGTGACACCACTCTCCTTGCTGTTTTCTACCTCTAAAAAAGAATAAGTTGGTAAGGGATTGTTTTCAAATAACCGAATCTGTATCTCTTTCATTGCATTTTTTGCTTTCATTTTGATATACTGAAATACTGAAATTACCCTAATAATAGTGGTTTGATATAATATTTAGCAATGATTGCTGATAATGGGTATGCCCAATCTTGCTTTCTTTTTTGTTTGGAAATTCTTTCTGCAATTATTTAAATCAAGGTGTGTATGTGTAGGCTTTTATGTTTAGAAAAGTAACTCTTATTTTCAAAACTTAAGAGGAGCTATGTGGGCAATAATGATGTAGCTTCCACATGAAAATTTTAAACATTCAATTATATTTGCTGCATTTATTATGAATTATCTTACAGGTTTGAATCCTGGATGTTTTCTCTTTTCAAATTATGAATACGTATTCAACTGACGATTTCAGTCATGGATTACAAGAAAATTAATATAATTTATATGATCCTATGTTTCTACTGATAAATCCTCTTAATGAAGTTGAATTGATTTCTCTCATATCAACATGGCAAATTTTTATCTTGTTAAAGAGGCTCTATAAACTGTAATGCAGCCCAATCATGATTGAGCTGTGGAGTTTAGAATTTAACCGTCCTTAGCAAGAGTACCCTTGCTATCAAGGAGAATTTGAGTTTTACCAAACGAGCCCAAAACTTTTTGTTTAGATAATTTCATATCACTTAATCAAGGGCTACATTATGTTGCCACGATTGAAAGTTATTAAAAGTGGAAAATTTAGAGCTGACAAAATGGTATTCCTAATGCTAGAAATAAGAAAAAGAGAACTTTAAGATACCAAAAAATACAATAAAATTCTTAAAGACACTTTTGATCAAAATAATAACTAATATTGCTACCCTTTCAGAAGCTTTGCCCCCTTTAAAACCTAGTCGGTCTAAGTCTGTGTAGCTCAATTTTTTCTTAGGGAAAAAAAAATTATGTTGCGACTTGAAGTTTAATCAATCATCATGTCTCCATTGCCTTAGTAAGGAAGTTTAACTAAGTTGTATACAATTCCAATTTGTTGATCAGAATAGTCTTTGTGAACATATTAGCTTGATTTAAGCTCCCAAGAATATTCTCACATGTTGAAATACCCTCTCCCAAAGCTAACTAAATGTCGTGCTTTTAACCCGAATGTTTTTTGTTCATGCATAATAAATCAGTTTCTTTGTTAGATAAACAACAGTCTAATAGTTATATTCTAATGTAATTTTCCTATACTTTTGACTAATTTATCTAAGAACCATTGCAACCGAACCATCTCCTCACTTGTTCTGGTCATTGCAACCAAACCATTTCCTCACTTGTTCTGGTCACAACAACCCGTTTTGCTCTCACTGCTTAGGCAATGGCAAGTGTGATACTCACCATAACTTACAGAAGGCTTTCACTATTTGAATCACGATCTATGACTTTCTAGATTGATATAACAATGGGTTCTTCACGTGTTGGTGCAGGTTTCCTCAATTCAAATTATTGATATTGAAGAAAGATATTAAAGAGCCTATAAATTAGCCTTAATTGATCGTTTGTGCTTACAAAAATGTCAGATCAATAACATAAAATTATCACACTGCGTTTCCATTTAAAAATTTAACGCAAAAATATATGCAGAGCCAAGTGAAACTTTACAAAGCCAGTACAAATCTCCTCCCACTCATTACAAATGGTTAAAAATGCATACCTACATGATTGATGACGATAAAAATTGAGTTATTTTGTTTATAGTTTTACAAATTCCGTATAGAAATTTATGTTTTGTGGCATCTTTGAAGCCAAATAACTAAACAAATAGTCATTATTATGATGAATATAACTACTACTGCAACTTTTAGGAGCTCCTCATGAGTCTATGTGAAAATATTTTTCTCCTCTTTCGTTCTCTATTAATCAAGTATTTCCAAATTAATCAAGTTATCACTATTAATCAAGTAGCAAAAGATGTGTTTGGAGAATCAAAAGAAAAAGTATTTACAAATAAAAATAGTTGGTGGTGGAATAATAACGTGCAAGAAAAGATAAAATATAAGAAGTTATGTTATAAAAATTGGTTTAAATGTAACAGCTTAGAGGACTGGGAAAAATATCAAACGGCCCGCAGGGAGTCTAAAAACACAATCTGTGACGCTAAAAATTTTGCTTTTAATGATCTTTATAATAGATTAGATACTAAGGAGGGTGAAAAATATATATATATAAACTAGCCAAACAAAGAGAAAAGAAAAGTAAATATTTAACTCAAGTAAAGTGTATTAAAGATGAAAATCAAAAAGTATTTTTCTTAGAAAAAGATATTCAACATAGGTGGGTGAGTTACTTTGATAAACTTTTTAATGAAGTTTCTGAAAATAAGATCGACCTTAGTGATTTTAATATCGTGAATAATAATAAAACGTTTCATTTTTACTGTCGCATTAGCAAAAAAGAAGTTGAGGAGGCTTTAAAGAAAATAAAGGGTGGAAAGTCTGTAGGACCTGATGATATCCCAGCTGAAGTGTGGAAATATTTGGGAGATTTGGGAGTTTCTTGGCTTACTAAACTCTTTAATATTATTTTAAAAACTAAAAAGATGCCTGAGGAGTGAAGGAAGAGTATTCTGGTCCCCATTTTTAAGAATAAAGAGGATGCATAAGAGTGTGCAAATTATAGAGGAATTAAGTTGATGTGTCATACTTTAAAATTATGGGAGAGGGTAATTGAACATAGGTTAAGATGCATCACAAAAATTTGTCATAATCAATTTGGATTTATGTCGGACATGTCTACTATGGAAGCTATACATTTATTGAGAGGTTTGATGGAGAAGTTCAGAGATAATAAGGAGAATCTACATTTGATTTTTATTGATTTAGAAAAAGCTTACGATAAGGTTCCAAGAGATATCCTTTGGAGAGTTCTCGAGAAGAAATGTGTTGATATGACTTATATTCAAGTCATTAAAGATATGTATACTAGAGCTGTTACTTGTGTTCAAACTGAAGGAGGATTGACAAAATATTTTCCTATTTCTGTTGGTTTACATCAGGGATCGACTTTAAGCCCATATCTTTTTGCTTTAGTTATGGATGGTCTTACTGGACATCTACATTGGTGTATGCTTTTTGCTGATGATATTCTTCTCGTGAATAAAACGAGAGAAAAAGCCCAGGAAAAACTTGAATTATGGAGGTCTACATTGGAGTCTAAAGGCCTTCGTTTAAGTAGAACTAAAACTGAATACATGGAATGTAATTTTAGTAGTAATAGCTCTAGTGACAAAAGTGTGA